TTCTCCCTTGTCTCCCCCCCCCCACTGGTCCAAGGCTCAGGTGCCTCCTGATGGTCAACCAGCCTCTCTCCGCCCTGCTCGGAGTCGGAACCCTGTCCAGGGTCCTCCACATCCTCCAGAGCCGACTCATAGGGCCCCTCGCTGTCGGAGTCTGGTGGCAGCTCCAACAGCTCCTGCCATAACATTTCACACTAGATAAACAGTTCTGTAGCACTCAGTAACATTCTTTGCTTATACTCACATTTCATTCATTCTAATTGGAAATTATTCTATTCTGTAATATTTCTCCAGAACTCATATTGTCTTATTCTTCACTCATTTTATTCTCAAGTCTCATTTCTTTCCTTCCAGGTCCATTTTTTTTTCTTAGATCCATTCGTCATGCTGCTGAAAAGTGGCCTGTCCCACATTCAGCTCACCCTTATTGTATATTTCACTAATTGTCTCAATCTCATACATAATTAAGTTGTGCCCTTAGATTTGCATTAATTCCTTTATCATGTAAGCAACCTTAAACTTGAAACTTGTTAAGCAGGTGCTTATCAAGCTATCACAAGTGTCATTCATCTTGACAAACAGCCAAATTGCTTCATCTGTTCTTTCTTATCTTATTCCCATCCTCCCATTCATATATCATCTAGTAGAATAATAGTTGCCCTGTTTTGCATTCATTATTAAGAACGTTATACAGTTTCCTGGTAAACTCATTTCTGGTTCTTCCATTATCCCTTCAGTGGAATATAATATGCAGCTACTCCTAATCTGTAGGTTTCTACTTTCATATTTATCCATGACAACCTAAATAATATCAGGTTGTACTTTCTGACATACTGTACCTTTTAGCCAATACATTCATATTTAAATCTACACCTTTATTTCCTTACATATATTCGACCCACAAAATCAGATCACATTCAGATTTATTACGTTCTTCCCCTTTTCCTTAATTTCTTCGACACACAAAATATCTATGTTTCTTTTATTTCCTGTTTTAATTCAAGCTATTTTGTCATTTCATATTTTAAGTCACGATCTATATGTCATGGCCATTGTCATAGATACTGATATTGTGGCCTTCACATAAAGCATTTAGTACCTGCTTAGAGGAGGAAAGGATTAGTTTACCATCTCTAATTATATCTATGAGCCTTGAAGCATTTCTTCCTGTCACTAATGGCAGGACTAGTCAATTTTGACCAGTATGCCAGAAGTGCAACAGAAGTCTAGTTCTGCCTTAAGTTTGTTGACAGCATTCTCTGAGACTAAGATTCCTAATATAGAGTCTATCTTACAAGACAACATAGTTATCTACAGCTCCGTAATTTAGAGGTATATACAGTGTGTTGACACACAGAGTACATTGTCACCTACAGGTAGACCTTGGTTAACAACTGTTCTGACCCCCCTCGTCCCACACCAACACACACTCTGAGCCAAAGATAAGTTACGGCATTTAATTAACAGAC